TCCCCCCACGACCCGCAGAGCTCCTCGACGTGCGTGTTTAAGGCTTCAAAAATAATACACCAACCTAACCCAGAACAGATTAACCATCGATGGCACTGGCAGAGCTACGGTGTCCCCGTGCTGGTGGTGGGACCAGGAAGCATCACCTTCTGCTCGCCCCTCCCCAGGTGTCCTCTTGCCACCGAGTCCCAGCAGAGACGGGGATGGGGATGGGGCAGGAGGCACTGCCCGGCTCTGTCCTGGCACCACAACCCACCGAGATGCCAACTGCTTCACCACGACCCTCGGGTCACTTGCCAGGGGTGCATGCTGCGCATCCCAGGAAAGAAACCGGGATGAAGCACCCGGCCGCAGGCTGCTGTGCAGCTCCAAGACATCATACAGGATCTCCTGCCGTTCGGCTCCACGGGGCACTGGAGTGGATCTGATACTTCAGTCTGGGCCAGCGAGGTGCCAAAGAGCTTTGGGTGTCCCCCTCTTGTTTCCCCATGCTGGATGGCAACGTGATGGGGAGAGGGGCCATGGCCAGCAGACAGCAACGCCAGTCTCTGATGGGATGGGCCACACTTTGGGAGGACTTAAAATACCCTAAAATGTAGTTCTTAAAAAACCCCACCAGACTAAAAAAGCGCATTAGGCAAAGCATGTTTATAAGGAAAAGCCTTTTCCCCGTGGTGGTGGTGGGGGAACACACTACCAATGCCTCAGCCAGCCCAGCAGAGGGGTTTTCATTCCCCCCCCCACTGATGAGCTGAAGTGGCAGTGGGGAGAGAGGGGAGAAGGGGGGAGAGCAGCTGCGCAGGGTGACAGGCGATGCTGTGGGCTCTCCTACCACCCATGGTCACCCTGGAAAGGCTCCGTCCACTTGGAGGTGTCCAGGAAGATGGAGGAGGAGCTGTGGAAGAGCCAGAGGCAGGGCAGGGAGCCCTCCCGTGTCCAGAGGTCCTTGGTGCAGTCATACACCTCCATTTCCACCCGGTAGTCCCCGTCCATGCCTTTCCAGTGGCCACCAGTGACAAAAAGCCAGTTGCCCAGTGGCACCATCCCACCGTTCTCGTGGAGCGTGTGCAGGAGCTGCACCTGCAAAGAGGGGCAGGGTGAGATGCATGGGGACCTCCCACTCCCACCGTGGAGGACATCGACCCACCAGGCGCATCCCCCTGCCCTGTCCTCTCTGTGAGGTTTGGGGGTCCCCTGGGGCCATGTCTTGCTTTTAGCAGCATCTCTGTGTTCTGCTTGTACGGGAGCAAGGTCGGGGGTGCTGCGGGGGCCGGGGGAGTCTGGAGCGCACAGGGGACAGGCAGGATTTTGCTGGACTGCACAGGCAGGAGGCCTGCACACCCCGCAGGAGGGTGGTGCTGAAAAAAGGGGGGTCCTGCGGGCTTCGGCAGCATGAACACTGCTTAAAATCAGTAACTCGGTGTGAAAGCTGTGCTCCTAGTGTGGGTGTGACGAGGGAGCAGGGAAGGAAGGATCAGGGCATCTTCGGCTCTGCTGGGGTTAATGGAGCCACGGGATGAGCAGGCAGGAGGGAAAGGGGGTGTGTGTGGGGGGGTACTGTTATGGCGTGCTGTTGGGAAGAGCTGCCCCACCTCTCCAGGAGGGTGATTGCACCCAGCCTCACATCCCTCTACCTTCTGCCAGATGTTGGCCTCCGGATTGTACACGTGGACCTTCTTGGTGTTGTCCCCGATGAGGTAGATGAGCCCGTGTAGGGTGGCACAACGCGGGGCCGAGAGGTACTTGGGGATGAAGGGGGACGTGATCACACTCCACAAATCTGCAAGGAGCAGTCATCAGCAGTGCGTCCCGCCCTCGTCACTTGCCAGTGACCGACAAAAGCACTGCCAAGCTCACAGCAGAGCGGCCAGGCAGGGTAGCACCCGCGGTCCCCAACCCAGATGAGGCTCTTGCATACAAAAAAGTGTGTGTGGGGGGGGATATTGTTTGTAGTGGTCGTGTGGGATGGGGGAGACCACCGGGGGCTGCGCAGAGGTTGCCCGAGGAGGTGGCGTTGTCACAGGTGTTTAGTTTCTCCTTAAGGTGGGCAGCCTCCCCCAGCCCTCTGCCCCAGGGATCCCACGCCACTGAAGCTCAGGTCTGGGCTGTGCTGGAGGGCTGTGACTCAGGTCCATGCTGCTGGCAGCCGAGCTCCTGGCCAGCCCCTGGCCCTGTGCCGCAGCCATCGCCGGACCCTTTCAGCACCCGGTTGCATCCCACAGGACCGGGCAGCACAGGTTGTCACCTTCCTGGGGGTCCCCTTCGGTCCTGCTCCCTGGGAAGGAGTTGGTGGGGTGCAGTGGCGGGCCCAGCTCTCACCTTGGACAGGGTTGTAGCACTGCAGGGTGAGCGCATTGTACTTGACGGCGCAGGAGCCCACCAGGTAGAGCTTGCCCAAGCAGCTGGCGGCCGCAAAATTGCTCACATACTTGAGGGCTGGGCTGATGGCGCACCAGCTCTTGTTGTAGGGGTCATAGCGCTCCACCTCCACCGCATCCACCGTCGTCCCTGCAAGGCGGCAGGACACTGCAGCCACCCTGCTGCGGCAGCACACCCACGGATCTCTCCCCCCCCGCAGCACCCGCAGGGTCTTTGCGGCCTTACCGCCAAGGACGTAGATCTCACCATTGAGGACGGCGCTGGTGTGGTTTGTCCGGGCTCTCAGCATGGAAGCAATGGGCTTCCAGGCACCATCCCTGGGGCAGAAGCACCAGGCCTGAGTCGTCGACCACGTATCGTTCTGGGATCCCCGGGAGCCACCTGGGGAGGGATGCGTCAGGTGGGCCACCCCCTCCGAGCACAGCCGTCCCCGGGCGTCCCCCATCAGCAGCCAGATCCGCCCAAGAAGGGAGAAAGGA